CTATGGCATTGGAGGGCAAAAAAAATCTAGAGGAATTGTACCTAGTAAGTGCATTGTGAAGCCTCTGAAAGGCGTTGTATGATTTAGCTAAAATAAAGTGCAGTGGGAGGGTAATTTTTCATGTAGCCCTTACTGGGGTTTCTGTCTGCCTGTGCTGGAGACAGGATGGGGTTCTCTCTCCCAAGAGGTCTCTTCACTGCACTGGGAGTGATCTGCCTGTATTTTAAGGGCAGGACATGGAGAAAAAAAACCCTGGATGTACTCTTACAGCTCGTTTTGATGGAAGCTGACAGTCATTTCTAGTAGGCTTTTTTACACATGGCTCTGTTTGCAAAGCCACAGTCTGTCAGTCACTTCTGCCTTTCAAAGCCTTACTTCATCCTGCTTAAAAAAACCAAAAAGACCTTTAAAAAAATCTTTTTCACATTGGATTATTCGGCTAACTTTCTTCAGACATTAAAATGACAGATAGAAAGCCTTTGAATATTCCTACCTATGTAGCCCCCGTGAAGCTGTGGCTTTAAAAATGCTCTAGTGTTTGAGCCTTGGAGTAAATCATGAGTTGGCTTGTGCTGCTGGCATTCAGCTCCTGCCTCGAGGCCCTGCTCTTTTGCCACAGCCCAGCAGCTGACAGAGCAGCTTGGAGAAGAGGGCAAGAGCAGTTGCTATGCTTCCCTGATCCTGAGCAATAAAGCAGTAAAACATATCACTGGTCTCTGCTGTAATTTATAGCAGCCTGACTGCTGCCACTGGTCCTGGCTGCCAGTGGCCACAAGGGCCTGCTGAGAGGACTGTGGATGAGCAGTGATGAATCAAGCTGTGGACTTGGCCCTCTCTTCCCACTGCTTATGCCTGGCACAGCAGGGAGGCTGGAGAGGAGTATGGAAGCTCCTCTGCCAGCTCTCTGCTGTTTGAAAACCGTCAAGCTCTGGGAGGTGTTCCCGAGACTGGCTCTGCAGTTAAGTACAGCACTGTAACAGGCAGTAATTGCACCTCAGTCAAGATTTTGGGGCTTAAGGCTGAATACTGTGGCGTGAAAATGTTAGTACACACAGCTTTTCTCGCTAGGATCAGGGGCTTGTTAATGTATAGCACTTCCATACAGATGTGTTTGGTGCCTTCTCCTGTGTTGTGCTGAATGTGCTGACATTTGAGGGTATAAAAATACTGATCTGCTTGCATCTTCCAAACCTAGTTCACATTTTGCAGCTTGAAATGGCAAAGCTCTTGCATGTCACCAGCTTTTTTTATCTTGGCTTACAAGGCCAAGGGACGAGGTGACACAGGTAGCAGTATGTCATTGAAGTAAGAGGTAGAGAGAGAATCGTACTCATTTGGTGTACAGTGTCACAGATTGCTTTGTATTCCACTGTTTGTAGAGAGATTGTCCTGAAAGTATTTTACAAATTACACAGAACAACATCAACTCCAGCAATTGGCTGCATTCAGCATAAATATTTTGAGTTATTCAGCATTCTCTTCCCACTCTGGTTGTGTGAAGTATAGGGCAAATAAAAACATAGTGATTATTTTGTGGAATGCTCCAGGAAGCTCCTGGAGGCTTTGGAAGAGAGGAGGATGACAACTATGGAGCAGGA